ATAATTCTGCATTCTGGCGTGAAGGATTGGCCTATTGGGCATCGATAATAAACCTCGGCAATAGCTGAAAACAAATCGGTATTTAGGAAATCGTAGTTTAAAGAACTAAATCTGGCCAGCACACACACAACTAAAAAGTGAATATAAAACATGTGGCCTATATACAATTCAGGGGAATTGAATATGCATTGTATGAATAATAGTCACACACGATTTAGATGAGTTACCTTACGTTGTCCCACAGGGTCACGTCAACTTTAATTCCCGAAACACAAATAACATTCACAAAACAGAACTTAACCTTCGCAAAACAACTCCAAATTACAGAACATAATTTTCAAATTCTGGCAACTGAAACTTAGTTTCTCACAATGCAACCATGTTTCTCACAAACTCCTCGAAAAAAACCCACAATTTAACAGAAATGTAATCTAATTTCAACATAAATTCAACACAACTGTAACTTCGTAATATTTTCTAGAATCTAACATTTTGATTTTTTACGTAACTTCAACTGATGAATTGGCGATAAGTAATCACAGTTTAAAGTTTAGCCGTGGTTTTTCAAAGTTGTTGCCTGTGGTGGCGAAAAAGCAAAACACATCGTCACGTGGTTATATTCCAGCCACTCTATTTGTTGAAACTCCGTTCACTGTCATCATTATTCAAAAGTATTATCCCAATTCGGAATCGTCATTTCAGTGCTAGAATGAACTGAGTGTTATTTTTTGGAGGACTGGCGTCGAATCGAACACTTCCGTAACTTGTATTTACCGAAATTCGTTTGAACCACCCTCTGAGCTCTATTTGAGCAACGCGACCCACTTTTTGAAAAGTTGTGTATATATATTATAATTACAAAATAGCACGCACGCTTCTTTCAGAAACAGAGCCGCCAACAGTCAACTGATCTCTCTGTAAGATGCCCCCTGTTTGACGAGATCGAATATATCACGAACATAACTTCGAGAATCAAAACTGAAATCTAAATTGTGAGTACTTACCGCCAATTCATCAAATAAAATTACGTCAGAAACCAAAATTACAGAAAATATTAGAAATTCATGTGGCCGTCTTTGCGGATATGCCTGCCCGATTTTGGTATTTTTCTGGCAGAGGAACCATTCAATTTACCAATAATGACGCACTCCTTAATTCAAGGTATATCTCGAGCAGAAATACTTGAAATCTATTGGTTTATCGGCATTACACAACCGATACGACCGTGGAATGATCACCCGTTCACAAAGCATTGAAACTGTTGGCTTATTAGGAAGCTTTGTCTGGTGCAGTTTTAAGTCATGGTAATACAATACTTTTGTGGGTGGGGTTCAACCGTAACTATTTCTTTTCATTACCATAATGCTAAAATTAATGTACGCTGCTCAATTTAACAAGATGAAATGAGTCTAATGTATGTTTAATTTAAAACCAGGAAAGCATGAAAACAAAATTTATCGAAAATGATATAATAGTCTGGTTTACATAACAATCAAAATGTCAGCATTCTATATGAAATTGATAACACGCCAGTGGACGAAACAAATAAACTAGTATCTCATCAATTCACTTTTTTTACGTGTATTATTGTAATGAGTATTCAATATATGATAATTATACAATGTTGTCTAATAATGAAATTTATACGAATTGCTCAGTAATAACTTATTTCAATTGACAGGTGAACTATATTAAAACTATTGTTTTCTATATATACAACTAAAACAAGCAACACATAATTAATTATGTATATGTTCCACGTCTTTTCAAGTAGCTAGACTTTAAAACTAATATGTACTGCGACTGTTGGCATATTCAAATAATTATTGTTTGTTTGTGTAAAGTTCTTGATAGGTGGGCTCCTCGTAGTTACACCTACCAGACATAATTATC